GTGGTAAGATTGGCAGCGATTCATAACTGTTGAAATATCAAAACCACTTGAGCAAGAACCTCAGAGCATACCCTACATCCAGGACCTGGGGAGGGTGGGAAATTGGGTGGGCCTTCTCCCTTAATACCCCCCCTTTAAACATGAAGGAAACAATATGAAAAAAAAAAAAAGAAAGGTGGTTGTTTCAAGCCCACTGTGCAAACAACCCAGACCCTCACAACAGGATCCTCTCCTGTCTCCTCTGTGTACGTATGCTAACAAGCTGCAAGCTGCTGATTGCAGAGCCCTGTTCTGCTGATGGAGCACACTGGCTGGAGGCTTCAGTGAAGACAGGTAGGCCTAATGGGCACACTTACAAACCTTCCTTCCTTTTTCCTATCACTAAATCCAGTCTCCTAAGGATCCTACCTCTTATTTTCCTGTTCACTGAAAGATGCTGGCTGTGAAAATTTCAGCAATTTGGTATGGCAGTACCCCAGCTTTCATCCCAATAGGTCTGCATTTGTGAGGTCAGATCTTGCAGTATGCTCTCTAGAAAGTCATCTTAGAAGCAGGAAGGTTTATTTTATCTTTAATTATATTTGTTTGTTTCAGAGACATTGAGACAGATCTCCCATCTGCTGGTTCACTGCACCACATTCTTGCACTGGCCAGAATTGGATCAAAACAAAAACCAGGAGGCAGAACCCAATCTGGATCTCCCACTTGGGGTATTCAGGCCTCATTATCTTGAGCCCTCACTCAACTGCTTCCCAGTATATGCATTAGCTAGAAGCTGAGTTGGTAGTGCAGCCAGGACTCATACTCTGTAATCCAGTCAGGAATACAGAAGCTCCAGACAGCATCTTTACCACTAGGTCAAATGTGTACCCCTCAGTTTATTATTTTACTGTCTTGGTGGGCAAAGAGGCAGAAATGAAGCTTCTTTCCCTTTTGAAATGTGACTCGCCAGGATTTCTTGTGGATTCAGATATACTTTCAAGAAAGAGGGATTCTTTACAGCTGAAAAGGAAACAAGGTGACCTCAAGCCCTAAAAAATCCTTTCTAGCCTTCTGGTCAACATCCTAATGTTGGGCCTGGTAATGTGGCTAGCAAGTAAAGCTGCTGCCTGAAATGCCTGCATCTCAAATGGGCACCAGTTGGTATATGAACTGCTCCCCTCTGATCAAGCTCCCTGCTGATGGCCTAGGAAAAGCAGCAGAAGATTGCCTAAGGGCTCAGGCCCCTGCTGCCCACGTGGGAGACCCAGATGAAGCTCCTGGCTCCTAACTTCAGCTGGACCAGTGCTGACTATTGCAACCAGAGCATGGAATATCTTGCTCTCTTTCTCTGTGTGTCTCCTTCATTCTCTCTCTCTCTCTCTCTCTCTCTCTCTCTCTCTCAATCTCTAGTCTCCCTCACTTTCCCTTTCTTTCTCTCTCTAACTTTCAAAATAAATAATCAATCTTTTCCAAAAAATTCTATTCTTTTCTTGGGGGCAACTGTGTGGTGGAATATGGTGGGGTATGAGGACAATGTTGGGACAGACTGAGAGACAAAGAAAGCAAAGAGATTTCAAAGAGAGAGGTTTGAGGGCGGATAATCTACATGTATGGGTTCCAAAGGGTCTAGGGATCACAGGAGTTGGGTATCCTCTATTTACTGCTATCAGCTGTGAGCCTAGAGGATACACAACAGTAATGATCTGGAAGAAGGTTGAAGTGCATCAGAATTATGAGCTCAAATTCCATTACAGGTCCAGTTCCAGAGGAGAACCAGGAAAAGCCATCGAAACAGGCCATGATCCCAGGAGAGGGAGACACAATAGACCCAAGTAAGCAAAATGGAGTACAACCTCAAATAATCTAAAAGCCAGTCAGTCCTACAAGGGACTTTTCACATGTTATGGTGCTATCAACATCAGAATGAGCACCTTAAAAAAAAAAAAAAAGTTGCACAAAGAAAAGGGATACAAAGAAGTGCAAAAACAGACCCAGAAACTAAATTCCCAGCTATTCTTCCCCAATATGTACCATCTTAATAATCTGAGAGTTCTCTATACATGATCCAATCTCCAATATTCACAATGATCACTTTACATCATTATTTTTTTAGTACATTTTTGAGATATACCTGGGAAAATTTCCACTAAGAATAAGGGTTTAAAAGAGTGTTTTGGGTTTTCCAGTGGAAAATAAAACTGTTTTCTGATCATTTATCCTGGAAGATGTTCTCAGTGACCAAACAGCCCACTTCTCTCTATCGTCCCTCTAATGTGTAGCTTGGGTCTTCGCCTTGAATTTCCAGGATTCAGACTTCCCAATTGTCTCAGAAATCAGAAACAGATGAAAGGAGAGGCTATTGTTCCTGGGATAGGGGTGAGGATGTGGTAAGAATTTGAAGGTTGAGTGAGAGTTCATTAGTTACCAAACAGAGAAATAGCTTAGGCTGAAAGACCCCCACAAGGAAAGATGCCACAGTAATAAATTTAATGGGGAGTTGGGGGCCATTATATGTGGCACTTGTGAAAATTGAATGTGGCAATGATAAAAACTGAACCAAGAAAAGCTGGCTGAGATCACATTATAAAAGCTTTCACTTTGGCATAAAATCAACCAATGCTTTATCTAAAGACATGAAGATGGGGAATTAAAGACTGCTACAGTCACTCATGCAGGAAGCAATGCAATTACTGGAGATATACAAGACTGAGAGATTTGAGGATGGCATTAAGGCAAACAGCTGTTAGGTGAGGGTAGGAGGCAGGCTTAGCAAATAAACAAAGGGGGAAATAGAGGTGAAGAGAAAAGAGAAGGAAAAAGAGATGTTCTGTTCATACTTATAGGGTGAGTTCTAGTATTCCAAAAGGGATGCTGTTGTGTTGGGCTTTGCCTCCTTAAAGACTCCCAGAACTACTGGCACCTTTCAGCAAAGTTGGATGGAGACACTGTGGGAGCAGGAAAGGCTCTAGAAAACTCAAACGTCAGTCATATTAGCAAAGGGAACCACCTGTGGTGAACATGGCCACTGACTGTGAGAGGTGGGGAGAGGTCTGCCTCAATAGGCTATCTAAGTTGGCTATTTGGGGAAACCATTCAACTCTCAGGACTGGGTCTACAGAACAAGAGCTGTTGACTTGGAGCTATCCACAAGGATGTAGCAGTAAATATCAAAGGGCTTGGGTCTCCTCTCTGGGGATACTGAGGTAGGAAAGTAGAGGATCAGAAACTTGCAGAGGAGAAAAGAGAGGTCTCTATGTTTAATTACTCACCTCACTAGTGAGTTTAAAGCAGTGGTGAAGGGCAGAGCTCAAAGGCAAGCAAGACAAGAGCAAAGCGAATGAATTTATCTCAGCTGCTGCTTAATGTGCACATCATTTTTATCCTCACCAACCCAGCACCCTCTTAGTAAATAAAGAGGGCCATAATAGCTGGCTGCTGTGCATCAGAAACAACTGTGACCATCTCTGAAGTGAGCCTGTTTTTCTTTATGAAAACCTTGGTTACGAGAATATGAGAGCTTCTGCTCTGGCTCTACCCCATAGTTAATCGTTTCTAATGAGTTAGGGGTATCAGCTGTGGAGTTTGCTGCCTCTACTTGGGATAGCAAGGAATAAGGCTCATTCACAAAGACCAGGTACGGTCTGTCAGCATGGGGCAAAGCTTGACCTCTAAAATTGGTGACTACAGAGAGGGTGCTGTGTCACAAGTGACCAGAGACAGGGTACCCGCCAAGGCTGGAGCTCTTCAGAGCCCGACCCAGAGAGAAGGGGGCAGCAGTAGTCATCCCCACAGCAGCTGAGGACTGTGACTAAAGTGTGTCACTGCATTCTCTCTGTCCTCACCCACCCTCTGGTAATCCTTTAGACAATGTTAGTCTTGAAGATGATTCTCATAAACAGCAGTTGTTTTTTAAAGATGAAGAGCTACTGTTTGGGGTTTTACCAAAAGAGGGGAGAGGAGTAGTAAAGGGCTTGTATCACACACAAGAGAGGTGGGAAGAAACATCTACTGGGACAAATATAATCAAAGGAGGACTGTGAGAAACTTTTCCTGGGATTCTGAGTTCTAGTCAACACCTTTTCCCTATTCCACAATGCTCCACAATCCCCACACATTAGTAGGCAATTGAAAAGGAGCGGTGGGGAGTTCTAGACACACTCAGGAAGGGAGTGGGTTAGAAAACCAAGGACTTGGACAGCAAAGGCAAGAATAGAAGTTTTTTGACACTTTGTCTTACAAGTATGATTTATCTCGGGCCTTCAAATAGGAGTTAGACAAGCTTTTTGATCTGCATTTCTCTGAAAGGAATTGTGACATTAGTAATTAAGAGAACTCTAGGATTTCCTTACAAAGGACTTTCATTTCCTGATAGTGTTGCTCTGGAAGCCTTAATGTTTCCATCATTCTTATTTCTCTTAACAAAATTCTTCTGTCAGCCCAGGGAAGTCAGGCTTATAACTCATGGTCTGAGGAGCCATGTGGTGTTGTACACTAGGAGTTTGGAGATAGGGAAAGATCTGTGTTCGTTTCTTTGCTGTGCCTTTAAGAGCTGCAGGAATGCAAAGGAAGTCAGAAAGAGAGGTGGGGTCTCCCAGTGGAAGTTCTGGGAAAAGGATCCTGGGATTTTTGCCAGACGCTGCACATTTGATTCCTACTGCAAGGAGGTGGGAGGTGGTTTATCTTGGATCAGGCCTGTGATTGGACTGCAGAATCTACTAAGGAGGCAGAAAGCAGAAATAAAAAACTGGAAGAGGGGAGTAGGGGGTGGAAGACCTTCCCCACTTCCACCCCAAAACCATACATACACCCAGGCCTGGAAGCAGTCTTCAGTCACTAGCAGGGGAGGTTCCCTGCATGCCAAGGGGAAGGGAAATAGATGCAGGACCCGGGGAACTCTGCACCAGGTCGGCCTACAGGGCCTCTGGGAACTGGTTTACCAACAGCTGGACTTCATCACCATCTCGCAAATGAGATCATGCATGGGGTGGAATAACAAGCAAACTTTGCTCTGCGGCTGTGCAAGAAGTTGTTTTTAAGGATTTGCCACAGCTGCGGCTACAAAGCTGGATACGACCACCTGGACCCTTGAGTCTTCTTCCAGAACTACGTGTAAGGGATTTTGCTGCTGAAAGTTTACAGCGCGATGGTCCTTCAGCGAGTTCCTGCCCTCCTGATTCTGTTGCTTGCAGCATGTCTGCCTCCACCGCAGTGTGCCCAGGACCCTGCCATGGTGCATTACATCTACCAGCGCTTTCGAGTCTTAGAGGTAGGTGGCATCTCTGCACACCTCCCAGAAGTCCCTTTAGTTTATCCAAACTTCCCTGTATACTGGGATGTGTGTTTCCCAAGGAGGAAATGACAACTGTGTTGCTAAAATTATGCTTACAAGTGCTCATGGTCCAGCACCAACTCCACAGTCCTGGCTGCTCCACCCCTAGGCCTTGAGCATAGCTTTGCTGTGTGCTCTAATTGGGAAATTTTCCTCATCTGTAAAATGGTTGATAAAAATGTAATTTGCTTCCTCAGGCTATTCTGGAGACTTAATAAATCATTTCATACTTGGAATTTTGGAATGGTGGTAAAATATCCAAAATGTTAGACATCCAAAATTCAATATTCTTTTAGTTAAATGTGAAAATGAAAAATCTGGGTCATTTTTTCTTCATGTTTCACTGTTATCAGGATAACAAGGACTTATAGCAGTGTATTTCTAAGATAAATAATTAGGTTGCTGTGAAAAGTCCCTATAGCCATGGATCAAGAAGCTAAGTTTTCACTGCTCTTGCCAAATAAAAATTTAACTTAGAAATAAGCATGTTTTAGTAACATTAGTAGAGAGAAAGCATCTGGGCTGCCACCTCATAAAATGTGCAAAGTCCAACATTTCTACAGCCTGGACAGGCTTCCAAGGACAAGTTTCACCCCCCCCCCATGCTAATCTTTGCCACACCCTAGCATTGTCATCAACTACTTCATACTTGATGATTTGCTTTTGTACCAGTTAAAGTGATAAAATGTGTATCTTCTTTTAAAGACATTTTTATCTTCAACACTTTCTATATTTTCCTGAAAAATCTCTAAATCCAAATTATCTGGTTATCTAGTTAGAATCAGGGTAAAATAACTCAGCAAAACAGGCTGAAGATATTACCCAACACTGACCAGCTGCACAGACTGGTTTGGAGGCTGTGGATGAGCTAACTGTTCCCAGATCAGTGGTCTCTTACTGCTGCCTTTTTTTTTTAAGATTTATTTTTATTTATTCGGAAGACAAAGTTAGAGAGGGCGAGAGACAGAGATCCTCCATCTACTAGTTCATGGCTGGGCTGTGCAAGGTCACAGCCAGGAGCCCAGAGTGGTCTCCTAAATTAGATACACTTGAGCCATCCATCCTCTGCTGCTCCGTCAGGTGCATTAGAAGGAAGCTAAATTAGCAGTGGAGCACCAGGTCTGAAACAGACACTCAAATTGCCTCAATGCCAGGCCCCCTCTTGCTGCTACTTTTCTTGCTAATTCCCAAAATCTCCTCCCCAGTCTCACCTGTGCAAATCTGCAAGAATTACATTCAGCATTTAGCACTAACTGGTCCTAGAATACAAACAGCCAAATCCTTAACAATACTCCTTCAATACTTAAAATGCAGATTAGAGTGTAATACACAGGGTAAGGTCAGATCTTTTGTCACAGGGTCAGTTTTTTAAGCCACTGTTTGGGAAACCTGTATCAGAGTGCCCAGGATCAAGGCTCAACTCCCCTTGCTGATTACAGCGTCTTGCTGTGAGTACACTGGGAGGCCTGATGACTCAACTACTTATATCCCTGCCACCTATGGGAAAACTCAAGTTGGGTTTGGGGGCTTTTCTTTCAGCCTGACCCAGTCATGAATTTGGCAGACATTTGGAGAGTGAACCAGTAAATGGAGAATCGATGTGTGTGTGTGTGTGTGTGTGTGTGTGTGTGTGTGTGTGTGTGTGTCTATCTCATCCTTAAAATCACTTTGTTTTTGTCTCTCTTTTTATTACTCTGCATTTTAACTAAAGTCTAACAGAGTAAATAATGAGAGATCAATAAAGTACTGTCATTACAATTATAAGCAGATAACAGTGCGTATATATATAGTATATATATTTACTTATATATATGAATGGAATACTATTGGCCTTATAAAAGAGGAAATTGTATCATTTGCAATATCACAGATGGACCTGAAGTATTTGTACTAATTGAAATAAGCCAGATACAGGAAGACAAATATTGTATAATCTGTTATGTGTGAAATCTAACAAATTAATCTCATAGGAATAGACTACAATGGTAATTATCAGAGGCTAAGTAATGGGGACACTGGGGAGGTTTTGGCCTAAGGGCACAAAATTTCAGTGAGAATAAGTTCAAAAATATGTAGGGACCAGGACAAAGGCCCAATTGACTAATCCTGCACCTGCATCCCATATGGGCAGTGGTTCTTGTCCTGGTTGCTCTGTTTCCCAGAGCTTGTTTGGGGCCTAGGTGCTTGTTTGGGGCCTAGGAAATCAGTGGATGATGTCCCAAAAGCCTTGGGACCCTGCACTTACATGGAAGACCCCAAAGAATCTTATGGCTCCTGGCTTTGGATCAGCTCAGTTCTGCCATTGCAGCAATTTGAAAGAGTGAACCAGTAACTCTATGCAAGGCACATGCTTGCATTGAAAGAAATAAGACTAGGTTTGATCTGTAATACTGCAATAAGGTGGAGCAATCCACCATGGGGGAGGGCAAGAGGAGGGAAGAGGGAGCATCAGAGCCTATGAAATGTTATAAAATTAAATGCAATAAAAAAAAAAGAGTGAACCAGTAGATGGAAGAGCTTTTTCTCTGTCTCTTCTCTCTGTAATCTGCCTTTCCAATAAAAATAAATCTTATAATAAACAGTCTATTGTACATCATAGTCACTATAGTTCATAATAATATATTATAAGAAAATAAGAGATTTTAGGTGTTCTCACCACAAAATTTATTCTACAATCTACATGTTTATCAAAATATTATGTACATTATATATATATAAAATTTTTGTCCATCGATTAAAAAAGACACTATCATCACAAGAAAGAAAAGCATGGCTTAGGTATATATTAATTGGCAATAAGTTATATTCACAGTACATAAGTAAGCTAATGATATGTTACACAAAATATAGTAAAGTAATATTTTTCCAAGTATGAGTATCATTTCATACATAGAAAAGCTTTTGAGGTTATTTGCTTTCCCCTTTATTATTTATGAAATATTTTTCTATGAATGATAGCTATTATTTGAGTCATTTAAATAACCAGCAGTAACTTGGGGATTTATTTTTTGACTGAAGCAAGGACTGGAAAAATGCACCCAAGTTACAAGGGCATACATTCAAGAGTTCCGAGAATTTTCAAAGAACATAAGCATTATGCTGGGCAAGTGTCAGACCTACACAAGTGAGTACAAGAGTGAAGTCAATAACCTGGCACTGAGAGTGGAACGTGCCCAACGGGAGATCGACTACCTAGAATACCTTCGAGAGGCTGACGTGTGCATTGAGTCGGAGGAAAAAGCACTGGCAGAGAAGGTACTTCAAGAAGCTGAAGAGGAGAAAAAGATCCAAACCTTACTGAATGCAAGTAAGAGAACTGCATCTTTTATTTCCCCTCCTAAGACTGTCAGTGTCAGAAAGAGCGAGAGTGGGTTTGAAGTCTGATGGAATAGTAAGGACAACTGCATGTGTGTTGTTGTATGTATGAGCTGGCAGAGAAATCTCTACAGGGAACAGATACCTCAGAAGGCAGGTTTTCCTTCCACAGGGAGTTTCTAAAGACCTCATAGAAGGTCAGGGGTACAGTGTCTGGAATCACCCAGCAAGGCCACCTTCAGAGAGTCCCTTACTTTTTAGCGAGTGTGTAGGCTTAAATCCTTCCATGGAGTAGCAGGTTGGTGAATTCTACACCCATTGCCCTAGGAATAGAGAATAGCTACAAATTTGTCAAGCAACAGTCTGAAACTGGAAATAGGAATTGAAAATTGTCCTCATGGCTGGGGACTGCATTGAATTATTATGTATACACTGTCTGGGAGAGGTGGTATCCAGGGGATTTGTCTCCAATCTTGTGATCTATCAGAATCACTTTGAGGCCATTAAGAACGATGTTTAGAAGCTTAAATTATAATAAAAAGCACCAAGCAATAAACACATAAGTGAGATGAGAATTTTCCTGTGCATAAATCTATTTCATTATAACAGTGAGGGAGACAGATCTCCCACCCCCTTGGATTCTGTATTCTGAAATGACTTCATAGCATACAAGAAAATTCTATTCATATGCTAATTGTATCTGGCCCAAATTCAAGGAACTCCATCAGGGAAGCAAGACATAAGCTGAGTGCCATCATTGTGCCACTGGCTTCACACATCTCAATGTAATCCTTATAAGAACTCCATGGCTTTAACTAGAAGGGTCTTCCCAAGTCAGGTGACATTTGATATGGGTTTTAAACAAAGAAGTTAGAGCAGAAGGTGTTTCTAGGTGAGGGCAAAATATACAAAGGGCATGATATCAAAGCACAGTGGATCAAGGCTATACATTTTGACATGTAGATTGGCAAATACAGACTGAACAAATGGCTGTACAGAGCACATGAGTGTAGAGGAAAGATTGAAGAGATCAGCAGACCCCACATAATAAAGGGAGTTAAACCTAACTGGAGACATTGATGAGAAGCAGGATGATTTTTTAAGATTTATTTTGTATTTATTTAAAAGGTGGATTTTGCAGAGAGAGGAGAGATAAAAAAAAAAAAAGGTGTTTTTTCCATTTGCTGATTCACTCTCTAAATGGCCACAATGGCTGAAGCTGAGCTGATATGAAGCCAGGAGCCAGAAGCTTCTTCTGCGTCTCCTACTTAGATACAGGATCCCAAGAACTTGGGCCATCACCACTGCTTTACCAGGTCATAACCAGGGAACTAGATGGAAAGTGGAGCAGGTGGGACATGAATTGGCGCCCATGTGGGATACCATTGCCACAGAGAGAAGTACGCTGATGTGCCACAGTCCAGAACACTTCCCCCTGCTTCCCCTTGTACCATAGTGATTTTTTTTTTTAAATCAGGGGCATAATATGAAGAAACAGGGCAGACAAGAGGGAGGAAATTAGGGGAATCCTGTAATGCATTTAGCCACTAGTGACAGGGTCGATATCAAGGGATGGGAAGGGAGAAGTTCAGATGGATTTAAGAGCTACCAAAAGTTGGACTCGGCACGTTTTGGTGACTGGTATTAAGTGAAGGATTAGTCCAGGATAATTCCCAGGTTTAGACTTAGATTATTGAATGTTTGGTATGAAATATGTTGAGAAAGAGAGAGACCTGAGAGGAGTTGGATAGCACTTACTATTATACAAATTTTTTTCAGAGCACATACATTGCTACATGTTTTCTGTTGCTGTAACTGAATAGCATGGACTAAATGATTCATTTAGAATAGAGATTTACTTACTTCACAGTTCTAGGGGCTGTATAAGCCAAGAGCATAGTGTTGGCATCTGCTTGGTGTCTGGCAGAATCTTCTTATTGCATTCTCAGGCTTATCACACTGTGACACAAAGCAAGTATGCTAGATCAAATCTTTCTTCTTCCTTTAAAGCTAATAGAACTATGCCCACATGACTTCATCTAATCCTAACTGCCACCCAAAGGCTGCATCTATAAATACCACAAACATGAGAATGAGCTTTTGGGAAACATGCTTGATTCAATTGGATCCCCCTCTGCTCTCATATCCCTGAGACCTTGGAGGCTACAGTATTCCGTCTCCCAACTCCCTGGTGTGTGATAACCCCTCTCAACCTCTCACATCTTGATGTTTTCATGCCTGCTGCTGCTGAAGCTGTCACTTCATGATTTAGCAGACACTCCCTGGCCTCCACTGTTGGCTTCAACCTTGCTGCACCATAGAGACAGAGGCGTGGGTGAGTCAGGCCTGGATCCTGAACTGCTTCTCTACTACAGCTTTGGACTCCTGGCATCAGTCTGCTGTCATGGAGCTCGTCCCACAACCCAACATGGATCCTTTTGCTTCCTGGTATAGAATGATTTTGTTCTTGTTCAGCACCAATTGTCAGTAACAAAAATCAGTTAAGACCCCTTACCTTTTACATAGGGAAGGCCATTCACAAAGCGACTTAAACTAATCTCCAGCTGCTTCTTCTGCAGATACTCATGCAGTGTCAATTTTAGCATATTCACATGCATATAAGTGAGCATTCAGCCTCCCATGTCTGAGTGTGTTGGAATGTTCAACCAGACCGAGAAGAATTGATATCATCCCTTCTCACATCTCAGAGTCGAGATCAGGGCCTCCCAGGGAGAAGGCCATAGGAATTGTTTCTAGAAGATACTGATGGCAGAAGTCCCACCAAGCTTGGGGAAACACAAACCTGTGAACAGCTATGTCACTAGTGCTTTTTTGAACTATTGTTTATAGACGTTCCTTTTTGGCTTGCCAACTTATTCCCCTACTTGGTCCTCTTTTATATTTTACTTACTATATAGCCCCTGCCTTTTTTTTTTCTTTTGCCATTTCTGTGAGTACATTTGAGACCTGTACCAGTTTTCTAGTGCTGTGCAACAAATTACCATAGATTTTGCAGCTTAAAACCATGTATATTTATGATCTCAGAGCTTTGGTAGATCAGAAGCTTAGCTGAGTCCTTTTTTATAGTTGGAGCACTGAGGGCTTCTGGTTCCCTGGGGTACTTCACAGCATGGTGGTTGTTGCTTCAAAGTAACAGCAATTACTTAGTACTTAGTCCTTCTTTTAAGATGCCTTTCCAAAACAACATTCTTTTTGAGTAACACACAGCTCCTTGGGCCACTCACTTAGAGCTGCAAAACCCATTCACTTTTGTCTTAGGTCAGCACTATGACTAAATTGCTAGCAAATGTGCAAGTCCTGCCCATGCTCCAGGGAAGTGCATCATGTAGGGCTTATACATTAAGGTGAGCAAATCTTGAGCATCCTTTTTAGAATTTTGCCTATCACAGTACCTTAGTCTAACTCTAGCTAGTAATTACTTCTCCAAGTTGTTTTTGGACAATAGATGTCTTCCTTTTTTTCTAATCTTTCTCTGTGACAACAATGCCGGTTAGAGAACTTTCACAGAGTTCCTAAAGAGTTAAGTCAGAACTCTTCTGTGGGCAAACATCTCAGGATTACGAGCTAGAGAGAGGTCACCAAAAGTCAGATCACAGATATCTTATGCTTTGGGAAAATTCTAGAGTAGATGTTGATGCAAATTCTTTGGAAAATTCAACCTTGTGTCTCAAGAGACTTCCAGGAAATTCTAATACGTTCACGGGGTACTTAATAAAGGAAATACTTTCTAAAAAAGGCATTTTCAGCCAGTTTTGTCATTGTGCACACATCACAGAGTAAACACAAACTAAAATAAGTTACTAAATGATACAGTATTATGGCACTACCGTGACACATATGCACTGACTAAAGCATCAGTATGTGGTGTGTGGCAGTATTAGTCCGAATGGTTTTCATTTATTCTAAGAAAACATCTTAGACAACTACTAAGGACCAAATACCAGGAATAATAAAAATGATAGAGCCGGTCTAAAATGAAGTCATTCCCTATAAACTCTTTCTCTTCAGCCTTAATTTAAAGATGATTCCCAATAATGTCTACATGAGAACCTCAGTTTCAAGCAATGTTTTGTGGTTAGATAAAATTTTCAGATGAAATCACTGCCTTTGGAAGAAGTAAGTGGTGCCTCATGTGGTAAGACTCATGGGAGACCAGATTGAGTTTCTGGCTCCTGGCTTCAGCATGGCCCAGCTTTTTCTTGTTGCAGGTATTTGAGACTAAACCAATGAGTGAGAGAGCTCTCCATCTGCCTTCCAAAAAATAGGAGGAAAAAGAAAGGAAAACCTCCTGGAATCCTATCTCTTTCTTTTCTTTCACCCTTCTCTTTCACATACATATGTAATTTAGAAGGCAGGTGGGTGAAATTTACTAGAATGCAGTCTAACTTACATTTCAAGATCATTCCAAGTCTGGTACTAGAGCTGTTATTACTAAAATAAAATTTTACTTTGCACTTGGAAATTTATAGAAAAACACTATTGCTTCAGGCGCCCAGCTTGAGAATAGATCCAGAGAAATATTTGGAAGATTCCACAGGCCACATTCTTGGCCAGATAAGAGTATTAACCTCTTTTTAACTTGTAAATCGCTTGTGAAGGAAAATTCTCAAGGCAGTCAAAACAAGCCACGATTGCAGCTTTTATTTCCTGCTTCAGTACAGCTCCTTTTATTACAAAGGTGCACACAACCTCAAGTAACCCTCACCCTGCTGAATTAAATAACTCCTATCTTTTGTTAGATCATGTTTCCAAGAAGAAAGTCTGCATATTTAATTGCCTCTGAGATTCATTCAGGTAGTGTAAATGTGTGTTAAGTGTACATTCAAAAACATTCAAAACAAAACAACTAAACAAACAAAATCCCACAGAAAACCAAATAAAGCATGTCTCTGAAGCACCTCCTAAGGTCCAGTAGTTTCTGATGAAAAGAACAAAACATTAAGAACAGTCCCTCTAATCTGTAACAGATGT